ATATGAATGGCCAATCCCGATCGGGAGATCACATCACCTCCTCCACAAAGAGTATACAAACCCTAAAGTTGCATGGTTTTAATCTCCCATGTGTCAAACCTCAACAAAATCGGTTCCCTTATCCGGGATCGGATGCGGATTCCAACGCCATTGATTGGGATTTGGCGAGAATTTCCCGAAATCATTCGTCCACGCGTTTTGCTCGAATTTCTCGAATGGATGATGGATCACCGATGGACGAATGCGGTACAGCCAACTAGAATTGGATAGAATTCGGTTATTGATGAGGGTTAACGCAAGCAGTGCACTTGAAACCGTTTTTTAACAAGGTAAACTATATCTTTAGATCTTTAGAAACGAATCTACTATACAGGGTGTCCCAAAAGTTCTTATACTTTTTGTAAACGGACAGTTTTAAACGCGAAAACCGCTCGGAAAACACGCTATTTTTGAAAAACCAACGTCGGATTATAAAAATTCAGGTATTTTTATCCCTGCTATACTTTTTCGCACAAAAGTTACAACTCTAAATAACTTTTTGATGAGGATGTTTAAAGGTCGTCACAGTGTCACGGCTTTTTCAGCTGATATCTGTATAAAAGAGCTGAGCATCATCTTCTCGATTCTCCATTCTCAAGTCGTATTCGCCTCGAATTTCATTTCTTTGAATGCCCCGTTTTCTCCTCGATTTTCTCCTTTCTCCCCCTTTTTCTTGTGTCCCCCAAAAGGAACCCCCAGAAATTTGATTAGAGACAAATCGGAATCCCCGGAGAGATTCGAAAAGAAACAAATTTTGAGAAAGGAACTCGAAAATCGAAAAATTTGAAGAGACAAATGGAAGAAGCCAATTATCGCCTTGAGAAAGATAAAGGAATTTGACAAGAAGGACTTGGGGATGATTTGTGGTTGGAAATTTCATACAAAAGGGAAAACCTATCATCTTTCAGTAAAACTGATTTAATTTGATTACCTGCGTTTGTTGGAATGTCGCGGAGCCGTGAAGGCAGTGCCCGAGAGCTGTTCCGAGTAAAGACCATGAGGGCATTGCTAAAAGAAAGTTACAGCTTCTCCTTGTGGACAAGAACACTCAATTTTCTCTCCAAACACTCACCTGGGGATTATTTTGTCCCTCCGGCAATGCATCGGGCACTCTTGGATCGCTTGTCGCGAATTCGTTCCCAAAACCGCTCAAGTAGTTCAACTGAAAAGTCGGTCCATTATTTCTAATGAGATTTCGGCATTTATTTTATTTTTTTCTGAGCAATACATCAAGAAAAAGGTCAACAAAAGTAAAAAGAAGGGAATTTTGAAAAGAAATGCACTAGTTTGCACTAGTTTTCATCAAAAACTGGTCCTTTTTCTTTCTGAAAAGCATCAATGGCAGGGAGAATTTACAGGAAAACATCTATTTTCTTTTTTTTTTGCTTTTACGGGATTTTTTTCAATTGAAAAGCCAAAAGAAAACAGCAAAAAGGGTTCTGAATAATTGAGTCACCAATTTGCGGCAAAATAAACAAAAAACTGGATGAAAAGAATGGGAATTTGATGGAATTTGATGGGATTTGATGGAAATTTGATGGAAATCTACAATTGTTTTATTGTAGAACAATTTAGAAGCGAATTTATTGTTAGTTAGAGTCCAAGGTACGGTCAGAACTTATAAATGAATGATACAAATGTCTAGGGAAAGGCACGATCTTCGCGTGAGCTTTCGTTTCCGGACTAAATCGAGTATGGAGATTCATAATTCGTAATCAAAATCTGCCAAATAAGCCAAATCTGCCAAATAGCCAAAAAAATTGAATTGAAATTAGCTATTGGTAGCTTCAGATACCTTCGAAGATAAGCTTTAAAGCGCGCTTTTCAATCAACGGAATGTGAGCGCCGGTAGCCTAGTGGACGGTAGCCTAGTGGACAGTAGCCTAGTGGACAGTAGCCTAGTGGACAGTAGATGCAATACTATCCACTAGGCCACCGTTAGCCATGTCCCGGTGATTGAAAAGCGCCCTTTAAAGCTTCAATTCGATTTTCTTCAATTCTTTAAACCCCTTTAAAGCTTCGAAATTTCAATTCAATTCAAGCTTGCAGACGATTTTGAATCGTCTGCAAGCTTATTTGGCAGATTATGAACGGCAGACAACGAAAGCTCACGGGAAGGCTCACCTTTCGCTAGTAAGATTCAAATGAGCTTACAAAAGTACCGTATCCCTGTACTTGGTATCCTCTGACTATCCTCTGACGATGACTCATGGTTCTTACGTAAGTGGTTAAGAGAATGTAAACGAATCTGTAAGTGGTCTGTAAGCGAATCTGTAAGCCTAAGAGAATGTAGATGACTGACAGAATGTAGATAGCTGACAGAATGTAAATGACAGACATAATGTAAATGTTGGTGTTCGTATCGAGTGTTTTGGGGGTATTTCTCCCCTTTTCTCGAAGTGTCCACCACAAGGAGTGATCGACGAAAGCTCTCCCTTGAGGCCTTTCCACCGCTTCCCCTCCCCTTCCCCTCCCTTCACAACACTCACATCCCCTCCCCTTCCCATTCTCAACATTCGACATCTCCCGTCCTTTTCTTCCTCCCTTTCTCCCCTTGTTCCCTGCAAAACTGGATGCAAATCCTAACGATCTCCGTCAAATCTTTCCCCTTTTCCTTTCTAGTCAAATCTCCTTTCGGAATCATGAAGCTACGAGAAAACAGCTCCGATTACACGATGCATTAAACTGCTCCATTTAAGCTCTCGTCAATATCTTGAATGGTTTAAATACCTAAACTTTGTTACAATTAGACCTAAACCTACTAAATCAGCAACTACAAAACCAGCACAAAAAGACCAAAAAAGATAAATGGCCATTTCTCCGTGCGGACCATTTCACCGTCTGCGCAATGGCGAAATGGTCCGCGCGGCGAAATGACCTCAAATCCCAAAAAAAAGACCTATAAAAGAACAAAAAGAAAAGAAGTAGTATTTCAATGTGTGTCTACAAAAATTTCTAGTAATGAAAACTCTAGAATGGTGAAGATAGAAGAGCTATAAAAAGAAGTATTCAATTGGAGACTAGTCGGAAGAGCGCGAACAAAACAACGCCGTTTAAAACAGCACCATTAATTTGAGCGCCGTAGTCAATTGAGCGTCAATGCGAAAAAGGCTAGAAAACGCTTCTTTGAGTTGATTAAGCTGCAAAACGATTAAAAAAACCTGATTAAACTGCAAAACGTTCGTTTGAGGATCGTTTTAGCGATTTCAATTAGTTTCAATTCAATATTTTTAAAGTTTGCTGGTTTTCTTGCAGAACTTCAACAGCAATGACTTCAAAAAAAACTTTAAAAACTAAACGAACGTCTTACGATCTTTTTCATTTGGCACCCAGACAAGTGGCGCTGTTTTCTCACTTTTTTTGTCGCTGTTTTGTTCGCGCTCCTAGTAGTCCTCTAAAAATTGAATGAAAGCATTATCCACCAAATCAACGAGTCTAGGTCAAGAAAATTGAGGAAAAGAGAGTGAGAAAAGCTTTGAATGAGTAAGAGGTGGATAAGGAGAAAGGAAAGGAATAGAATAAGAGAATGAGAAGGAAAGGGAGGGGACTCGCCCAGCTCAACGAGGTCCACTCAGGGAAGGGAGTGAAAGGAGGGGGCAGGTCCAAATGGGAGTCCCTCACGGGGGAGTCCAAGAGAACCCTGAGGAAGCGACACATACACGCGAATTCCCTGTCTCATTCACACCCTTTCTTTTCCCCCATCTCACCCCCAATGGACACATGTCTTCGGGAAACCGCATTCCATTCCAAAATTCGCGTCTCAATACCTTTTTGGGATTAGGGTCATGTAAGAGACATTTTCTCTCACAAAAACTGCAATATCAAACTTTTCCCTAAGAGTCTTAGAAACATAGTCTTAGAATTACTCAAAGAACTTTTCAATTCACCGATTTCCGATTGAAAAACAAAAATGAAAGATGAGATAAAATGCATTATGAATTTCTTAAAAGCTCTAGAAGAAATTTCGTTGAAAGAAACGGAAGTTGATTAGAAAAGAAAAGAGAAAATGCAAGATGTGAAGAAATGGAGGAAAGAGAAGAAAAGAACAACGAAATAAAGAGAGAATGCAAAGAAGAGGAGGCATTCATATAGAAAAGAGGGAAAGGAAAGGAAAGGAAAAGCAAGGGAGTGGATGAATTTATGAAGAGGATGACGTGCACACCATAAGAACAATGCATTTGCAATGTAATTCTCTATTTATCGAGTGATTACAATTTTCGACCAGACTTAATCACTTAAATTGGCTATGATGAAGCTAACAATAAGCTGAAATTCAGCCTTTGCATACATGAGTATACAGAGGGACCTAGCAACGCCTAGAATCTTTCGGCACTAAAAGTACCGCTACGATCTTGTTCACTATAGATATTCTTTAAATGACTTACATTATCGAAGTCGACCATGATGATCGATGATAGGAGTTTGGATTATCGAATGACTCGATTGGGGAACTATAAATGGAGCGGAGACACAAATATCTTTTCACCAAAAATCCTTGAAATCATCACGAGGCGGCTCGCAAATCATCTTGATAACCCAGTAATCCATCACTGACAATCCCTTTCCTGCTGGAAGGATAACCCCAAACCATTTGCAGCCATTTTTTACAACCCCATCATTTGTGCGATTAATATTTGGGAAAAACGTTAAAATTTTATTTGTGAACCATTAACATAACAGAAAATTGATAACATCAACCCAAAAAGTGAATCGATAAATAAAAACCCAGAAACTCTTAGAAGCCTATATCATGAAAAGTTTGCTAACACATTAACTTATAGTTAGGTACTTGTCAAGAAAGGTAACGCCAAAAGAAACAACAAATTGTTTAAGCACCAGCAACCTTTCTTTTTTACTAATACGGTGAATCTGTTGCGGGTGCCCATACATAAAACAACGGGTCCTTTACCAGAAAATAATCAAAACAACAAGACATCCAAATAGCACAAGCATATATTTTAGAAGCCTTTTCTTGCGTTCGAGTCATTTTGTCCTCCAGCGCGTCGACGTTGCCCAGTCGCTCCAGCACCGCCGCCAACTCCACTTCCCCACACACCGGCTCCACCCTTGCCACGCTGCTCTCCGCCTCGTCCGGGCTAAATTCAAAGAATATAATGTATGCATAGAATCTAATTTTAGCTTCGCTATTTGTTTTTGCTCGCGGCAAACAAAAAACCTCAAAATTACCTGAAATGTCTGCATCTTTTTCTTATCATCACCACGATCGCCTCCTCCCCGGCCGGCAAACCAGGCACCGGGCCCAGCATAACCGCGACCGCCAGGTCCACGTGGTTCCATAACCTACAGAATATGCTAATTGGGGAGTGTTTGAGAAGTTTACTTGTTCATTTTGTTCAGCCAATTGATGTAACTTGTCGGTCAAATGGAGAGCTAACAGTTGTAGACGGCTAAAACGCAATTTGTAAGCTTGATAGATCGATAAAAGAATTTACCTCGGTTCCACTCGATGCATCATCACGCACCCGGTCGGCTCGTCTAAGGTCGCCGCCAATTCTTCAGCAATAATCATTTTGCTAAAAACTTTTTTAATTGCCAAGATTATTTTATCATACCTTATGATGGCGTGAACTTGTCTTTCATCGAGCTCAAATAGTGCAGCCAATTTCTTCAAAGAAACAGTAGTGTAAACCGTTGAATACATCAACAAGTAGGTGCGCAATGATTCTTCTTGAATTCTTCCAACCACCATATTCTTCACAACATCCGCATTTCGGAAAAGATTCCAGACCTAAACTATCAAGATAGATTGAAGAATGTCAGTGTACCAATCACCTTTGCATTCATTTTGTCGTTGACAATGTAGTCACGGCATTTCTTCCAGTCACCGGCCAACATTGCACGAGAAGCGGCAACCACGTGTTCTCTCGTGTTTTCCGGAGGTCCAACCAGGGATGACTAAATTGACACTCGATTTTAAAAAACACTATTTATCATCACCAACCTTTTCATTTTGTTTCAACTGGTAATGAAAAGACCGTGAAAGCAATCTCTTGCGCAATTCAAACTCATGCGAAGCCATGTGTGGAATTTCCAGAAGCATTGAGCAAATCAACTAAAAAAATATGTATTGGATAGACTATTTAGTACAAACATAGACGCATTCCATCAACTCGATATTGATGTGCATATGATATGGCACTTGACGGCTGCGCTCTAGCTTTTCCTAAACAGACAAATTTTTTTAAAACAAAGCTTAGGCTACCTGTTCTTGAGTTCGCTCATATTGACGCATGGCAATTCCCTGTGCAAGCAACTCCTTAGAACGCTGTGTATTTTGAATTTCCGAAAGTCCTTGATGAGCTTCCTAAAACGATTTTATTAATAACTGTGAACTTCAATTTCCATGTTAATTTAATATTATGTAGGAACTCTTCCAGGGCATGATTTCATGAAAGAGAAAACAAGCCTATTCCGCGAGTCCGTTATTTTTTCCCGTTTGAATAACCCTAAGGACATGTTGCCTTTAAGGTTTGCAGACGGGTATTGTTTTGCGCGCTTTATAGTTCGTTTTAAAACATGTTTCAGTTTACCTTAATGTGACCATGGCGGAAGGCGCAGAGGCCCAATTGGCAAATAGTCCTATTGTACAGAATTTGAGTCGACACATCAGAGTGGTCAACAATGGCTTGCAGATGACTCATTAACATCAAGTCTCGAGCCTAAATCTTTTGATAGAATAGCAATTAAACTATAACGGACCTTGTGCCACTCATCATGAAGTGCCAAAAAGTACACATGACAAAGCATAGCGCGTTGCCGAAGCCTCTTCTCATCATCCAACTAAAAAATCTTAATAGTCAAAGAACAAAAAAAGATTTGATCCAGAAAATTTTCAGACATGCCCAAAAAATTTTACCTCCCACTTTTCGTCATTCTAGAACAACAATAAGTGTAATCAAGCAATAATTTATTAGACAACAACTCGACTAAAATATTACGAACCGCGTAGATGCGCTTGCAAAGGCGTTCCATCAGTTGAGAAGCAGTCAAACCATCTTCTTGCTCAAACGTGTCCTCATACTAAAACACCTGATATTTTCATAAAAATCAATGTATACCTTGTAGTACATATGCTCAATCCGTAACATGTAGATCTTGCAAACTTCGTCGTTTTCAAAGAGACCGATCTCTATGCGTTCATCGATAAACTTTTGAATCTTTTCAATAAGAGAGCAGATATCCTTTTCGCCTTTCAGCCTGAACCAAAGATGAGGAAGTTCAATGCGGTAAAAATATCAACTTCTCTATGTAGTCGGTTGAATGGCAATCAGCGTTCTGAAGAATCTTTGTCAGCTCTGTATCGAGGCGTTGGACCGACATCAAAACGGAACCATTGACTTTGTATGGTTTTTCAGGATCCTAAATGGAAGGTATAGCACGAGACTTTGAAACTCCAAAATACCGAGACATTCTCATCCTCTTCGGTGATTCGAATTGACAAGTGGACATTCGAATCTATCAAAAGGTCAACCAAGCTGTTAATGGCAATCAAAGCCCTAAAAGGTTCCTTCTAATTTTTTTGAGATTAAAATATACTTATTCCAGGTTGAGAAATCCATACAATCGCTCACACTTGGGGTAAGTTCGAACAGTGCCGAGACAATGTTGAAGAGAATCTTCACCAAGATACCACTTCCGAATTTTTTCTGAATAAATATTTTGAAAAATCACACTGAAAGTTTTTTAACCTCTTGAGCAATATTGTAGAGTTCTTGAAGAATTCGAACATAATTCTTGCGGTTCGTAGTTTTTCGTCCACGAACAGCCATTTTCTCGTTGAACTTTTCAACAAGTGCCTATAACCATGTTTGATTTAACTGACTAAATTTAAGCAAAAAACCTCGAGCGTGATCTCTGTTTTTGGCGGAAAGAGAACACCGATGTCTTCCTCTTTCTTTCCAACTTCAGTCCAGCCTTCCTCGTCTTCATCTTCAGAAACAATTTTGATGATCTTTGCCTAAAAAGCACATCTTATTATTACATAAGGCATAGACTTTAATGGCTTGAAGCTTCCAACTTACCTTATGAGATCTGCTTTTTCCAGGCTTGTCATCCTTCTTGCTTTTTGAATCTTGGAATTCTTTTCTAAAAATAGTTTTAGTAGATATTAGTGTTAAACTACAAACTTCAAAAAGTATTTACGAAGCTCCTCCATTTTCTGTTCTGAGAAATCAATCTCCGACTCAGAAGTCGATGTTTCAGTATCAGTTGACCACGCATCGGAGTCGAACTATAATACTGTTTATTGACTAAAAAGTTTAAGTTCGAACTTCTTCTTCAACTGCAGCTGGAGCAGGAGCGCGTCCAGCAAATTCCTAAAGTTATTCATTGAAATGTTAGAGGAAAGGTAACTGACATCATCGCTTTTATCCTTTTCGTCTTCAGCTTCAGCGCTCACTTCCTCTTCCGGGCTTTCGTAACCAAGTGGGTCTGGATTTTCACGATAGTTTTTGAGCTCCAGCACAAGATCCATTCCAGCAACCACATTGGCATCAGCGTGTTTGCGTACCCGTTGATGTAAACGAGTAAGTCCGTTTGAATTTGGCTTAGAAAGAGCCTGAAATATATTAGCTTCATATAAATCTATCAGAATCTTACTTGTTTTGCTTCTTTGTCTTTCCAAGTGTTTTCCACAAAATCCTCCAATTCGGCCAAGTAGCGCAGGTAAAAACGTGGAATGGGAAGGCTTTGACGACGGAGAATCGGCTTTGCTTTATCAAAAGCTTTGCAAAGTTCTTCGAAGACTAGAATATCCTGTTATGAATAGCCCCCGAAACATTCCTTACGTTCATAGAGCTTCGAAAAATCTTTGACATTCTTTGCATTCTTCGTCTTCTTGATCAATCCTTTGAGCTCGTCGTATTTGCGATCTTTGTGAGCTCTTACAACACGTCGTTCTTCTACTTCATCATCACTTGGGTAGGCGAAGTCACGACCACTAAATAGGTGAAGTATAAAAATGTCCAAATAAATGCTCAATTAGGGTGTTAAAAAATAAAAGACTACTTACACTGGAACTTTCTTTTGAACTGGTTGTTGAACCTCGTCTTCTGAACCCGATGATTCGGACCCAGAGCCCGAATCACTGTCCATAGCACCTCGAAAGAAGCGAGACATCTTCTAAAAGTTTTAGAAGTGGCTTAACGAGAAAAAAACAGTAGTCAAAACCAGGCAAAATAGCAGTCTTTTTAAAAATGACGAAAAGGCATCCAAAAGGCAAAGAGAAGAACGGACAAAGGACAAGTTACGGTGGCTTTCCCAACATTTCACATTCCGTCGACTAAGATACCATTTTAAGACACATAATTAAAAGCATTTGCGGTCAATCACCAAATATTTAAAAATTGAAAGCAATTCAAACATAACAGATTTATTAGATAAAGTTAAACAACAAAACAACAACAATATATTTCACTATATATTTCAAAAATATTTGAAAACAAACAATCTATGGTAAGAAACAACCAATAAATACTTAGCGAGACCTCAAAAGTACATTAACAAACAAAAAAGGGGCAAAACATTGTTATACAAGAACCTTCCTTTCCAAAAGACAATCGAGCATTAGGGTAACGTTATGAAACCTGGTTTTAAATATATGCAATACGGGGTGTTACTTTAGTAGACTAAGCAAAACGGGGAGGAGGTGGGAAAGAAAAGGTTTCAGTTCCATTCGTATTGCATAAGGGCGTTGAAGGAGTGCTCATTGACCCGGGGAAAGTGAACAGCTGCTTTGCAGTGACGATTGGTGGAGGTGTTTGCGTCTGCAGGTTCATCACGTATGGCTGTAGATCAACACCGCCCATTCCAGCTGCCAGCGATGGAGCGGTCCCAAAACCCAAAGCGTGTCCAAAGATATTTCTAAAAGTGAAATGTATCAAAGTTAGGTGTTTTACTGCTTACCTCTGTGGGATTTCAAATGGTCGGGCCATTCCTTGCATTGCGATGGTCATTTGTTCTCCATTCAGCCAACGCATAGTGTCAAATGGTGTCGCCTCCCGTGGAGTATGTCTTGTCAGCGCTTTGTGATCAGCCATCTGACCGCAAAGATTGTGACGGAGCTAAAATAAAATTGATCCTATAATGAAATAAAAGTCCTCACCTGCCAGCAAACAAGGCAGAAATAAGAAAAGCATTGACGACGGGTACAAAAAACTTGGCCATTGGCCTTCTTGCACATCTAAAACGATATCAATTATTTCCACTCTTGACAAACTGCTACCATGCAAAGAGCTTCTTCGAGAAATGGATCAATTTGAATGCGCTTCAGAAATTTGTTGGTTCGAATAGCAAGGTGAGCCGAGCCGACAGCTTGGAAGAATGCCATGTATGATGAGAACGTGACTCGACCACTTCCTAAATAGTTTTTCATGAAAGAGACAAAGCTAAATAGGTACCTATTGGGTACTTGTATTTGTCGGTGTCAATTCCAACGTAAATCACATCTCCGAATGTTTGATTCATGATCGTGAACAAAGCTTCGGCGGTGAGCATTCCGTGCAGTCCTCCAACAAAGATCGTTTTTTTCGGGTCCAGCTTTCCTGTTGGATCGTGCACATAATTGGCGTCCGAAACAACCCACGGTATGACTTGCACCTAAACCAAACGTCACCATTATGCAAAGCAATCAAAAAACCTGTCGAGTGTTGCCTCCACTAGCCGATGGAATATTCAATGTGAAATACAAATCCTGTGTGTCCATGTTGAATTGTTTACAATCTTTCAATAGTTGCTTCGCAGATTTTTCTTCATCAAAGACCACATAAATATAGCCAACAGTCTAAATAAAGATACATTGACACTCACAAAATTTAATCTGCAGATCATCGCTAAAAAAACTTACTTTTCCACGCTGCAAAACTCCACGGATTCGCCCTCGACCTGGCCATTCTATTCGGCAGCGTCCATAAGGTGCAAAAGCATCGTAAAGAAGTCGCTCCGAGACATCATATGGAACTAAAATAAATGTTATTTGCCAAAAAGGAAAGAAAAAACTCACTTCCACCAATGAATAGCTTGCAAGAGTAGACCGGATTGTGATGAACTCGAGGCATGATTTGCCCATTCCACGAAGCAGGTGCTGTTGCGGGTTGCATCATCAAAGCCGCGGCTCCAGCTCTTTCTTCCAATTCTTTCAACTAAAATTAAAAGTAGTAAAATAAAGTTTTTTAATGCCTGCAATAGAATGTGTAAAAAAACTTACATGAGTCTTCGTCAGTAACTCCATCTGACACGTTCGATAAAACTCCATTGCAACTTGTTGTTGATGAAATGCGCTTGTGAGTTGTGCCGCCGTAAGTGGCTGATTTCGTGGTTGCTCAATGCCTCGAAAATTTGAAAACACGTTGACAAGTTGCTCTGCGGCGAATGGCTGATTCTTTGGCGGCTCATTGGATTGCAAATTTGCGTAGCCGGGCACCGTTTCTCTCGAAGTTAGGTTGTGGAAAGTTTGCGTGATATCGCTCAACTCAGCAAGGTGATCGGTCCCATCCTGACCTCGGTAGTTCCCATTCTCCATTGTTACTCGTTAATCCGTGATTAGTAACCTGAAAAGAAAAAGTTAGCTTAATTTGCAAAAAAGAACTGAGAACAAATGCTACGAGCTTTGGGGGGGGAGCACTTTTTTCACCAAAAACCATTTTTCCTGGGATAATTCAAGAGGTGATAAAAGTTATTTTTAAGGCAAGTTAGTAACGAAAAATGTCCGTTTTTAAAACTCAAGGTGCCATAGCAGTTGGGAGGGGTTTTTTTTGCACTGAGGATCTAATGCTAAATCGCCATCATTAGGTTTAGGTTTTAGGCGCGCTTGGAATTGATGCCAATGTTTCTGATATTCTAAATGATGCTTTGACTTGAAAAGTGTAGCAAGATCAAAATTGACAAGAACTTTTTCCGGTTAAAATAACATCTGACGCAAAATGAAAAAGTGAAAATGACTTTTTTCGTGGATTTCTCTGATTTATAAAGAATTTGTCAAAGACTATTCAAGTGCTCAATTGAATATCTTTTTGTTTCGATTTTTTGTCTCTATCGGTTGCTTGTTCGTCTAGGAAGCGTCCAGAAAAGTTTTTCATATCGATTCGCTTCGGATCCGTTTTTTGCCCAAAGATTCAAGTATACAGATAAAAAATGTAGAATTCGATAGCTTTAGAATGTTGCTTTACAAACATGCAAAAATAGATTTCAAATAAAGGAATGATTTCAGTTTTCTAGTAAACCCGTTGAATTGGAACTAGGTGACGTGCGAATCGAGGCTGATAAAAAGTGAATCACTTTATGTAAGAAGACATTCGATGACCAAATTTGGCGCATAAAGCAGTATTTTTCGTGTTTTTTTTAAAGTAGCCTAGCAAAAGTGCATTTACATGCTTTTTCCATAAAATTACAAACTTGAAATTTTCTAAATTCAACTACACTTGAATTGAAAACTAGTTTTATAAACTTGATATCTCACAGAAGCCCTTTTTGGTTAGCACATGAATTCGGAACCCGGACATTTCGCATAACCCATTTCGCCTAACCCATTTCTCCTAGCGACATTTCGCCCAAAACTATTAAATACGAATTTTTCGACATCATTCGATCTTCTTTGAGTTGCTGTGGTGACACCTCGTTCGCGGTGTTCACCAATCTTAATGTCAATGTGAACCTGGTAATAAAGGTTTGTTTTCCAAAAATTTCAACGTGTTTGGATGGTCCGAAATGTGCCCTCGAGGCAATTGTTGGTTTGTTGGTCTCCATTCAGGGTTCTTTCAAAAAGGAAACTTTGCGGAGGAAAAGTTGGTGCTTTTTGATATTCTAGTCTTTTCTCCAATCTGTTCAAACCATTGAATCACAGGCTCGAATCGTTTGTCTAATCAATCCTCGAGGCAACCCCAAGTTGAATGCAGATCCTAAGCGGGAATGAAGGCAATAGCTTTTAACATTTGAAATTGCTATCGTGAATCTCCTAACTCCAACACTAAATTTATCAATTCGACTAAAATACAATTTAAATTGCGGAAAGAATAGTTGCGGAGGATGGTATAAAAAATGCGGCACTAATTTGCGTAAATAAATATGACTTCTTTTCACTGTTCTGCATATTAGACGTGGTTATCGGATCGGATCAGGACCGATCTGATCCGATAGGTCTGACCGGCCGAGGTTAGCCCGATCCTATCCGATCCGATCAATCGGACTTCCAGATTAAATTAACATTTTACATCTGCAATTTACAAGCAAGCTCTGCTTTCTATTTTGCGCTACTTTCTTTTAACGAAAGCCGTGTTTTCTATTTTGCAACCAAGCACACAAATTACTACTGCACGATATTTGCCCGTACAAGCGACAAAAACATTTGTATCTTGCTTGTCACTTCTAATCCATTGTTCATTTGCTTTTCTTTTTAACCTACAACAGTTTTAATTTCATTTTTTCTAGATGAGTGGTGAAGCGAAAGTTCGCAAATTTTACGTCAAAGAAGGCAATCATGTGCGCTTGAAGTGCAAAAAGTATGGAGGTCCCATTTTCGCTCGGTCGGATCGGACAATGTACGGACAATGTATGATCGGATAGCCCGATTCGATCCGCTACGGTCAGATTTTGCCAAAAAAACCATGTCTACTACATATGAATCATCAAACGAAGGTTTTACAGTACAAGAATTGCTTTTTTCGAACCGCTTCAACACCACAACCTTCAAAACCACTAAAAGCTCTACAATATCCATTCTGTGCGTTTCTACAAGGGTTGGTAAGCTGAGTTTGTAGAGCTTAAGCTAAAGTTCTAAAGCTAAATTCTAAACTTTCTTTTATGTAACTTTATTCTTGCACATAAACTTTACAAGACACATTTAACACATACATTTAATTTAACACAAAAAATAGCCTCAAATCTTTTCACAACATTCATTTATTTCTTTCTTTTTTTCATCATTTGACATTTCTCGTTGATCTTTGCGAATAAGTCGAGAGCTCGAACATCTGAAAATTCTTTTCTTTTGAAACCTTTCCAAATTTCACTTTAGCAAGCCAAAATCGTAATAGAATTTGTGCAAAACCGATTGGGGTGTAAAAAAATCAGAAAATAAGTACAAAAATCAGAAAATAAGTAAAAAAATCAGAAAATAAGTACAAAAATCTTTGAATCTATTATAAAATAGAGAAGAACTCACTATTTCGAGAATCTCTTATGACAATGAAAAGTGTTTCTGAATGGAAAAAGTTCGGGTTGAAGAAAATGGGATTTATTTTGAGTATCACTCTTTTTCTATGTCAAGTTTCACCTCCTCAATGAGAGTGACGAGAACAATGGAGTGCACTTAAGCATGTCCTTTAATTGAATCGACTCATAGTTCTCAATCGATTCTTGGAATTTCTCGATCCACCGTTCCTAAAGTGTCCCAGTATACGTTTTAATCTCATTGATCCATCTCATTGATTCATCTCATTGATCCAATTTAATCATCCAATCCAATTCACTAATTTAATCACTAATCTACCTTGTCATGCTTATCCAGAGCCTGCAGAGTACAAATGGAAACCACCTGAAAGTTTTGTTTAATCATTTCTTTACGAATCACTTTTACTTGATAATATCTCGTCAAATGAATGATCACAAAAGCATAACGAAGAGCGGACACTAAATCTGGAATAAAAAGAAATCAGGAATAGAAGGGGAACTTGATGATGCAGCTTCATTCGAATCAGCATCACAAAAGACACAGGAGTCGAGAGGAACTGGTTGTTTCTGTACAACGTAGTGCTCACTTTTTCCAATTGATGTTCCTTTCTAGAATTTTAAAGATATATTTACTGTAATTGTACTGTACTGTATTGTACTTCATTGTAATTGTACTGTACTGTATTATACTTTATTCTAGTTGTACTGTACTGTATCGTACTTTATTGTACTTTATTGTAGCTGTATTGTACTTTATTGTAGTAGTACTGTACTTTATTGTACTTTATTGTAGTTGTACTGTATTCACTCACCACTTTGATCTTACTCGCGCATCGTTTAGTCTTTGTCAATAAAAACATATCGTTGAATAAAAAAGCGTAAACATCCACAGTTCGTCCGTTTTCTGAAAACTCACAAGTTGTAAGCATTTGAAGATTTCTTGTATTTTCCTTCCTCAGTCTCTTACCGACAAGTTCCAATGGTCCTTCGTGGATTAATTTTCGTCTCGGATGTGCAAGTAGGTTCTCACAAAATTGTCGACCCAGCGCCACTTTGAGGAACTGAACTTTGGAATATTGTTATAAAGATATTGTAGAGGTGTAGACTGTAGAGGTGTAGACTGTAGAGGTGTAGACTGTAGAGGTGTAGACTGTAGAGGTGTAGACTGTAGATGTGTAGACTGTAGATGTGTAGCTGTAGGTGTGTCCTAGTGTAGCTGCCTCAGGTGTGCTGCAGCTACAGGTGTAGCTCAGCTCGGTGTGACTGCGCTCAGGTGTAGACTCACTGTGTGCCCCAGGTGTGACAGCTACAGGTGTAGACTTCTTATAGTTAAGAATATCTTAAGCTCTACTCTCTGTCTCACTAAAGTAGGTCTCAACGTAGGTGATAAGACTAAATTTCTTTCACTTCAGTTGACTAAAACCATTGCAGTATCAGTTTTGAGATCTGGATACCATAGTGAGTCCAAAGCTTACTATTAGACATGTTAAAACTTACAATTGTAACCCAATATCTTTAGGCTACAAATTACTCACATCAGGCACAAAAGTCCGCGGCTCAAGCTCCATAATCGATGGCCAAACAACCTAAATCCATTTCCCGGTGCTTAAATTGATTGATTGTCTCTCTTCTATCTTATCTGTTTTCTATCTTATCTCTTTTCTATCTTACCTCTTTTCTATCTTATCTCTTTTCTTTCTTACCTATTTGCTTATCTTCTATCTTATCTGTGTCTGCTTGACTATCTTCTATTGACTTTTGACTATTCGATCTTTCTCACCTGTGTCTGCAGTTGTTGAAGTCGCTCAAAATTGTGCAACCATTGCACCGAGTCATCGATGGAGCCTGGAACTCTTTCATTTTCACATCAAAACTCCTTTCCCCTACGCAAATTCTCATTCATTCCCTCGATCACTTTCTCCAATCGTTCTCTCTGTGGCACGCCCTCAGTATGACGGAAAATTTCCTTAAAAAAGCATCGATTACTGTACTCAACTAAGTATTTTATAAACCTTTAGCAAGATGGGTAAACGGGTGATTCTTTGTAAAGGAGCGATGAGAAGA